CTCTCTCTCTCTCTCTGATACTTTCTTAATTTGAAATGTTTACCAATGATAAGGAATCTCGAAATTAGTTGAAACTCCTGCGTGTCTTTTAATCCGCCACTGCGACTCCGTCGGTTTCTTTCGCTCTCTGTCGCTTCTCTCTGCCACGCTCGATCATCAAGTGAGTAAAATTGCTCTCTATCTCTCTTTCCCTCGCGTGTTCTCCCGGGCGAGACTCCGCCGACCGACCAGCGACTCTGACGCACCGATATCGCGCCACCTGCGCGCGCAGTTTCGTTCCTCTCGTTTTATTATACGTACACGAGATCTCCTTTACCGCTCGCCCCGCTCGAGCCGGCGCCGCGGTGTTAAAACACGTACACGCGAAAGTCGCGTCGCACGCGTACGAATCAGCTCGGCTGATCATACGATATGCTGCGATACGCGGCCCAACTTAATCCGGAAAGGTAGACATCACCTCCTTCTTCCGCAAATGACGGACGATGAGTAGCGATGTGAAATTTTTACGTTCACGCGCGACACCGGAAACGTGCATGCACTGTGCACACCTATGTACGCACTTGTATCTGTGTACGAATCAGACATTACTTCCAAATAGAATTCTTTCGCTTTTTTTTTCTTGTTTGTCAGTTGAATGGAACTTTTACGTTAATTGCCACGAATATGATCAATATTTAGCTGCCTGGGAGAATATATATTAAATATATATATATATACTTGCTTTACAAATGTCTTATATGAATGAGTAGATTCTATTACTGTCTGGTCGCGAGCGATTTTGTCAAAATTTTATAAAATGCGAAAGAGAAAGATATAATTTCTGTATATACATTATCTCAGTCTAACTTATGCTATTTCACTCTATAACTTTAATTAAGATTATAGAGTGAGATAGTATAAATTAGAGTGTATAAGTTAGAGTAGTATTAGAGTGTAGTAATATAAGGCAGTACAAGTAGAAATTATATATACTTTTCTCTCCTATAGGCTTGGTTTCACCAAATCGCTTATTATCAGACTCTAGTAATAGGATCTCTGTATATAAGATCTCTGTGTATAAGAAATTTGATTGCAAATGATACAACTATATATATGTATGATAATAGGATAAAGTGATACAATTTCAAACATAGTATAATTCTGAATGAAATAAGATTTGAATCCAATTTTCAAAATTCAAATTTGATTTTTTCCTGTTTCCTGTATCTTTTAATATTCTTCACACAATGAAACTTATCAAATTTAAATCTTGATTAAATTAGATTCAAATATTATATTTCATTCGAATTGTTTTGTCATTTTCAAAATATCACAAACTTTATCTTATATATAGTTTCTTAATTTTCCAAGATAATAATGTATATATACATTAGCTAGTTTATTTTAAATTAAAAATATTTGGCAATAATTTAATTATGAATATATAAGATAACATTTCATTCAGACTTCCTATATAATTTCCTATATAATTAATGAGATCTTTTTATAATTTTTACAAAAATTATCAGGTGGACCACACTAATCATTAAAATGGTTGACTTTGAAAAAAACCATTATTATTAATGATATGTACATAATCATAACAAATATTTAATTTAAAAAATTGTAAAAATTATTAAAACTAAAATTATTAAAAATCACAGACTTTGAACTTACTTTGTACATAAAGGGATAATAATGGAACAAGTTTCACTATTATTCACTATTCATTATCTGTGTGAGACTGCGTGCTCCACATCAATATATTAGATCCGTTAGAAGCGAGAAAACAATTCTTCTGTGGATGAACGCTTATAGATACAGTAGGATGCTTGGTTGGCTTAAAACCTGAAAGTTTCGCGACCACTTTTTGAGATACAAGATCCCAAATCCATAATTTCCCATCTGCCGAGCCGGAAAGAATTTTCGTATCTTGATAGTCTACGCTAGATTCTAGACACAGATCCTTCCCAGTGTGTCCTGTGAATTCGCCGAGTAACTCTCCCGAGTCCTTATCGATTAATCTAATTAAATCGCCCGCACAACTGACAAGTATACATTGTCCATCTCTAGTAAAACTGGCGCAAGTAATTGCATCTAAAAAGTTTGTATCGTATTATTTTCTAATCAATAATCTTAAATCTGTTATTTCTTACCTCCCATATAATCTTCACAAAGTTCTCCTACTCGTATATCATATGTGCGTATTTTGCCGTCGAAAGAACCAGATAAAATTTCGTGATCTGAAACTCTCACACTAGAAATAGAATCCTTAGCATCATTCAAAGATTGTACTGCTTCTTGTGCTTTGGAACGTCCATCCCAACACATAACACTGTTGTCACGAGATCCAGAAACAATCATTGATGAGTCTTCATTAAATCTGTGACACCATGTATTGTGCAATAAGAAATATTAAGCTTAGTTAATAGCAAATTCAATTGGAAACATTCAGTGCAGTGATGCACATTAAAATTTTCATATATACAAATTAACATAAAAATGTATGCTTATTACAAATATAGAAACCAATTAAATATTCAATAAAATATTCCATTTTATTATGCCATTAGATAAAATATGTAGTTGATAATGCAAAATATTTGTATTCCACTTTTAAATTTAGATTAAATCAGTATAACATAACAAAATTAATATGTATCCTAATACATTCAATAAAATTTGTATTTTCGAAATATCATGTTTAAATATCATTATATGCATATATTATCTTTTAAGTTCTAAAGTTAATTATATTAATTATATTGAATTAAGGCAGAATTTTTCATTGGGATTACTTGGTTAGAAAAGCACTTTTACATTTTTATACTTAATATTTAAATCTTTAAATTCTAGTTTCAATGTAATATTAACTTTTATCACAGTTTTTGTTTTTTTTCTAATACTTATAATTAGAAAAAAAATAAAAAAGTAAATTGAACCAGAATTAAAGTTAATCTTATATTGATGAAATCAAACATAAATCTGTAATGATTCTTAATATGAACTAGATTATAAAATATACTAGATTACTATAGAATAAAATATAGCATTGGTCTTCAGACTCAGTTACAAATAATATATTAACCTGACTGTTGTGACAGGACCTGCATGTCCTCTAAAACGACGCACAGGCATGCCTGTGGCCACATCCCAGATGATTATAGATTTGTCTAATCCACAAGATACAATCTGACTACTGTCGCAAGATGCATAAGCATCCATAACCTCGTCACCATGACCACCATATGTTTTCAATGTAACAGATTTGTACGGATTCCATAGCTTTAGCTTCCTGTCTGATCCGCACGTTATGCAATATGAACCGTCCACTAAAATACAAAACCATATATACATAGCTTCATAAATTATTGTATCAAAAGTAAACAAAGTTTCTTACCACTGAATCGTACAGATCTAACGGCTCCTTGCTTGCAGTCTATTTCTTTTTCGAATTTGTATTCAATATTCATTTTTCTTCTTCTCTTTTTACAAGAAGTTACATATATTAAAATTTTATAATAATTTTCTTAATGTTTCAATTTAGATTTTTTTCTCTTTTGAGGCATTAAAGTCCTAATTATCACGAATAGAAGTACATTTTGTTTATTGAGTACAGTACATATTAGATTACAATTAATGATTTGATAACAATTTGATGGAAAATAAAAAATATTTTGAAAAAGATCTCTATAAACCTATTGAGTACAAATAAACTTTGATGTTTAGCAGTTCGACACAATAGATCTATTCGTATTGCTTACACCTTTTGCACTCAACTATAGACGTATGATGGAAGAAATTCAGCATTTTTGCTTTTTCTCTCTTCAATTCGTTTGAATAAATCTGTTCATGTTGCCTGAATTTCCAAAAATGTTTGCATTGAAAACGAAATAGACACATATTCGGACTTTAAAAAGAGAGAAAGCGAAAATTCTAAATGTAAAAAAACAAATAACATGAACAGATTTAATATTTATTTTATTTTAAATGCAAAAATTTTTGATAATTTCGAACAGACTTTATTTCAAGTAGAGTTGCCAACCGTTCGGTTTTGATTCGGACAAAACATACAATTTTCTGCGTGTTGGTGTTTTTTTATTGCTGCACTTTCTGAACTAGTAAACATAGTGCATTAAATTGAAATGAAACAAATATACATTTATTTTATTTCAACTTACTAGTTCAAAGTGCAGCAATAAAAAACAGACCCTTAGTCTATTTTTTGTTCCTGCACTAGACTGTCTAGAAATTCTCTTTCTCGTTTTAAATAATATCAAACATATATCTATCTCACTTTAAGTTCCAAAACTGTGCACTAGTTCAGCCACTTAAAACAGATCTCATATGTTTTCTGCTTCAGTGTTCAACTTGGCGCGCATGCGATTATGCGCGTGGACGACCATGTGACTGGTACACAGTCTCGTAATTAAACGCAGGCGCCTGCAGAAAATTTCCACATGTTTATTTATAGAACATGTTTATTTATATAACTTGTTATTCTGTGCTTGCACAGTTATTAAAATCATTTTGTTTGAATAAAATATCCTTCTGCTTCCTTGTGATATATTATTTTCTAAAATTAATTATATACGTAAAACTTCCAACACGAAGTCTAAAGTAAAACTTTTAATAAATAAGGTTTTCGACATATCTGTATAAAGATTTCAGTTACGTTTCATAATATTTACAATATTTAAATTATACGTGACACATCGCGAGTGTCTGTACAAACTTTGTCTTAATAAAACAATGTCAACTTTGATTTTTAAAATCAATATTCATATAAAAGTACTGGCCGCAGAAAATTTATAGATCTTATTTACTGTCATCTATGTAAGAAGGTGATAATTTCCATAATAATTATAATAATTCACTAATTATTCGACGAAGAAGAATCCTCGTGTTTTTTCTGGGCCTAAGGGTACCACATATTTCAACGAGTATTTGTGCTAAGCGCTACTGCGCAATCCCACGTTCTAGGATTTCATCCGAGTGACACTAATGGGAGAGAGGATCGGCGCGAGTGTTGCGTAGTAGGTAAAGTCATACGGTTGCGTGTGGAAGGTAACGCGTGTTCGTGAAGGGCTCCCGTTCGTGGAAACGGCATGATGATGAGCGGTACCGGTTTATCCTTGTACGCGTGGCGCACGGCCGTGATTGTGTCTAGCGAACTTAGAACTAAGTGTATCAGCAGTGACAATGCATTGTGATCTTAGTTGTCGTTGTAAGAAAAAGTCGAGGCCGTCGTCGCCGCCGTCGTCGTTGTCGTCGACGTCGCCGACGTCGTCGTCGTTGCCGCCACCACCACCGCCACCACCGCCGCCGCCACCGCCGCCGCTGCCGTTGTCATCGGGCGCGCGTTGTCGTTACTCATCTCGGTATTTGGCACCGGTATCCCGACACGGTCCGTCGTGGAATGGCAGCAGCCCTAAAGAAAAATCACTCACGTAGACGATTGGCCGCCCTCACTTTCCTCTCCAACATCTCTCTCGACGGCAGTCACCGGGACACCAAGTTCGCCGTCCTGTCACGCAGCGGGCCGAGTCACGCGCGCAGATTTAGCGATGGCCAGTCTGAACAGCAGGCGGTGCTGGAGGTATGCCGGAACGCCGACTTTGAGTCCTCCATGGAGGAGGTGTTAGATGTAGTCTGCCCTCCAGAGGAGACTCACGACTTGTCACAGAATGAGACGATAGAGAATAACTCTCCGCAGCCGGTGCACAAGAGCACCGATCATAACTCCTTCAGTTCTGATTCGGATGGACTACTCACTCCTGCCAAGGCAGCAGTTACTATGTTCTTGGAGCAGGAGAGAAATCACTTGCAGTTTTCTTGTGGCATGCACAGTTCGTTTAGAGAACGGTAAATATTTACTTGTCAGCCTAGGTCCCTTGGAATATAATAGAGGTCAGTGATTCTCTTTTCGGTTAAACTATGTGGTAATTAACTTACTGGATAATCAAAACAAAGGAATAAGAATATAAGGAAATAAGAGAATAAGACAGTGAGCTGAAGTTTGCCAAAAGGAAGAATAACTCAGCCTAGACATAATACCTTATCTTAAGTTTTAAGATATTGATACCAATTATATTCAATTATTCTTTTCATATGCGATTGCAATTGATCAATTTCTTAAGGCTTAAAGTTTACTATACTTGTATTTATAGACTAATTATCAAGCCTTTTTATCAATAGTTGTTGTAATTAAATTAATAGCTCCTTCTTCTACAAGAAAAATAAGAAGGAAGTCAATATGGCCAAATTATATAGGAAAATAGCTATCAGCAGTGTGCCAAAATATTAAGAGCAATACAATTTGTCAGCAATAATACAAAGGAATATGGAAGAAGATAGGTGAAACAACTTGAGAGATGCGCAGTAGCCCCGATTTGGTTATAGCCAATCAGAATTTGTCTTAAAAAACAATAGGACAAATTTGATTGGATAGAATTAAATTTAGGACAAAATTAGATTTGCTAGCTAATTGTTCTGAATTGCTGTTATGTGCGTTGTTTGTATTCTTCCATCATACAAAAGAAGTAACAGTTTGCTTCGAAGTAAACTGCCAAATGAAAAACGCAAAGTTAAACATGTAACTATATTAAATTCTTTGTTTTATATAAGCCAAGATATTTATCATAAATAATGTGTGAAAATTTCTTTAGAATTATTATTCCTTTAAAGAAGATATTGCTTATCATAAATACAGTAACAATACATTTTTTATCTTATCTCTTTTAAACCTTTGTTGCAGAAATAGGTCGGGATAGTCTATGATAATAGAATTGCTTGAATTTATAAAGTAAACAACTATATGTATATGTTTTAAAAGATTTATATTATGTTAATTGTGCAAATTCTAATCTATAGGCTTTAAATTAAGATATGATGTAGTAAGATAATCCATTAGATAATTGAAAGTGGCAGACAAACTGCCTTATCTTATAAAATATTCTAAATTAACATGCATCAAAACATCCTTTTGATAAGAAAGAATGTTGATAATTAAATGCGTATGAAAATTTCTGCGCTATAATATTCCATTTCAAACTGTCTTGGTACAGATAAGATTGAATGACACTTAATGGATTCAGATAACATTATCAAAAGCGTCTACAATATCACAAACAAAAACATCGTGAAACTTGATTACATTCCATCCACGCATTACTTGCATATCTGGTGTATAATTCATACTGTATGCAATTATGATTTTTTTCATTTGTGCTGTGGTTTTTTTAATAGATTTGAAAATAGATTTTCTTAAATAAATGAATGGACTTTGTACAATAAAAAATTAAATTATTCATATTTTAATATTAATATTTCTTAATTAATTTTTAATCAAAGCAGATGCGATCTTTTACTATTGTATTTTAAATTAGATCTCATTTCGTAAAATGTTTGTTTATGAATTAATTATAAAAATATTCTATTTAAGACCTTATTCTCTTAATAACAATAACGACATCATTACATTATCGTTGCGCAGATTTTATATATGAGAAAAAAATCAGAAATTATGAAAATATTAATTAAATTAATTTCTGTTAATAACAAATGTGAACTTATTAAATTTAGTTAGAAAAAAGAAAGAATAGTATCAGACAAATTCATTTTTTCTTTGTGAATAATAATACATACACTATAGTTACTCATATTTTAATATTTTTTAATGAAAAATTCTTAGAACGGGAACTACTGGAAGCGACTATTCCTTACCAGAAAGACGTGTGGGCTCTCTATATTATAAGAAGCGTATAAGTCATCAAACATCTACGCTTTCGGAAGATATTAAGCATCAATACAATAGTAGCAATGAAAGTATTGGCTCCATACATTCAAAAGCACAATCGTCAAAACCAAAGACAAAGGCAGTGAACAATGTGCAACCTGTTTCTGCAAATAGTAGCATAATACCAGAGATTACAAAGGAATTGCGTTTGATGCAACGGCCTGTGAATGGCTGTAAATTTGGGGATGACAGAATGGTTTTAGTATCGAACCAACATGTGCCATTTGTAATATTTTCTGCTATTCCATACAATAAAGGACAACGTTCCAGCTGGTAAGGCTTGTATAAATATTTAATTTGTATATAAATTCTCTTTTTTAAGATGTATTTTCTTATATATAATTTATTTGATACTATTTTTTAAATGTGCTAATAAAAAACTGATAACTTGTACTTCAATAAAATTTTATATATTTACAGGTCAGAGTTACGTAAAGATACGTGTCGAAGGAAAAATGTGTCATCTCAAAGACCTTTATCAGCAATTAATGACAGTATTGATCCCTTTAGATTGTTGGGTATAGAGCATGCTAAGGATGGCCAAGTACTAAAAACATATTATTTGATTCCTCCAATTCTGATTTTGAAACACGATAATCCTTAATTAATTTTTCAGGAAATATCTTACGGGCAACTACTTGTACCATCTCGGCAATTTCAAAGAGATAAAAAAATGATGAATCTAAATGAAAACGAACCTATGGAACTTACACATTTTATACCTAATAAACATCATGTGGTACAAAGGTATAGCAACAAATGTGTTTATTAGAATACCTTATTTCTTCTTTATATTTAATTTGACGTCACAATTCAAATGTACTATATATAT